GGAGGACGTCCAAAGCGCACACAGGGTACTGCAGCAAAGTGTAGTGACTGTATATTTGTGGGCGAAACGTGGCAGCACAGCAGTGAACTCCAAACAGTCGTGGATTGAGTGTCATTTTTTTTTGAGGGATTTTCATCCCTGGAAAGCGATCCCCCAATCGACTAACAAGCGGATTATTACTTACTGTTAGGTAAACAGAGGCGTGTGTGTGTGTGGAGTAAGGATCTTGCCTAAGATTTTGGCCTGCCTGGGAATCCAAACCAGATCCTCTCGCTTGCCAGATTACACTCTCCGCTAACTCGGACTATCTCACAGCAATGTTTTCGTAATAATAATAATAATTTTGGGGCAGGTCGGACACATGCAGAAACCCATGTGTGTGTCAGCTTGGCTCAGTAACAGCACTCTCGTCTCTGAGTCAAAAGGTTGTGGGTTCAAGTCCCCATGTCAGGACTTGGAATCACATATTCTAAGTTGACACATATCATATATCTCACACACACACATATATATATTTATCAACAATAACAACTTGCATTTATATAGCTCCCTTCATGTGGGGTAGTGTCCTGGAGCGCTTCACAGTGGTGGAGTATCACACACATAACACAACGACAAAATTACATTTATAGAGCGCCTTTCACATCGGGAGGACATCCCAACACACATGTATATCACACACACATAACACACACACACACACGGCCTCACCCTGACACTAAGCCATGCCTCAAGGACACATTCCCTCACACCCTCAGGAGCTTTGCACGAGGTGAAGTCAGATGTAAAATCTCTCCAAACCCATTTCCTCTCGGCCTCCATTGTGTCGTTTCCTGTGATGGCAAACGTTTCCTCTCTTTATCCCTTGACAATCGTGGCCTGTATTCTGTGTGCCCAGCCTTACCATCCACAGTACCAGGGCCAAAGGCACCACATGAAAACACCATACAATGTCCTGCTGATGTTATGGCGATTATTGTCCCTTACAGTTCCTTACATTGGATACAACGCCTTTCATGTCAGGAGGAATGTCCCAAAACAATTCATAGGAAACACTGACTGTAAAGTGCAGCCATTGTGTGCTTTGTGAGTGAAACACGGCAGCCAATTTGCACACAGCCATGTGCCCGCTGACAGCCATGGAGTGAGTGACCCATTTTATTTGGGGGGATTGTTGGCCAGGACACAATGAGAGAGAGCGAATGCAGCGCTCTCCCAGCACTGCGCTGAGCGTTAGCTTAGACTATGTGATTCCAAGTCCTGGCGTGGGGGCTTGAACTGACAACCTCCTGACTCAGAGGCGAGAGTGGTACTACTGAGCCTGGCTGACACTTGATACCGTGATATTTTAAACCCTCATTACCTGCACTGTCATGTTTCCTATCAAAATTACACTTGCTCTTCCAACTCTGGTCTGAAGAATAATTATTCAGTTTGATATATCGCCTTTCACGGAGTGAAAGTGCCAGAGTCACTTCTCAAAGCGCTTCAAGGGGTTTTATTGTGGAGAGGAGTGACTGTGTGTTTTGTATACACACAGCTCCTTGGGACGTCCTCCCGATGTGAAAGGCGCTATACAAATGTAATCTTGTTGTTGTTGTTGTACGCCAACGCGGCAGCCAAAACCTGGGTCCTCTCCCTTGTTAGGCGAGTGCTCATGTGCAATGTGCTTCATGACTTCACAAGCACTTACACAAACAGACTGTTTGCTGGCGATGTGTTGTGTCTCAGTCAATGGGACAACACATTCAGCAAATGCATTTGTCCCAGTGCAACAAATTGGATATTGAGGTTCGATCACCAGGGGACTAAGGCAAGTGGCCAAATCCCAGGGAGATTGCGGTTGACACTTGTCAGTCACAGGAGCACAGCAGTGGGTTTTAGATGTGAAACGGCTTCAGATTGTGCCATTTGAATTCAACAACAACGTGTAATTAGACAGCATTCGGAACGCTTAACAGTGGCGGAGCCTGACACCGAACCGGGGAGAGGGGGGAAGAAGTGACCAAGGGCATAGTTGAAGAGAAAGGTCTTAAGGTGTGATCTGAAGATGGCAAAGATGCGTAGGGGTTGAGGCAGAATGGATGCAAAGGGGAACGTTCCACAGATTTCGCAAGCTGTCACAGTGAATTTGTCGGCATTTCTCCTCAAGGGAACAACCATAATAATAATAATAACTCTTCAGGAGGCCATTTCATAGTGCTTTACAGGATATACTGTGACGTGTGGTGCCTGTATATTGTAGGCAGCTATTGTACTTTTACAAAAAAAATTATTTCATTGTATTTCACTGGCTCCCCATCCCCCAGAGTTCAGATCCATGTCCAAGCCTTCAAAGCCCCCATGTTCTTGCCCTTCTACCTCTGTGACTTGCTGAACCTTCCCCAACCTGTCCGCTCCCCCGCTATCCCCTCTCTGATCCAAACTCTCAGATACCTCATTATCCAGCGCCTTGGGACGTCCTCCCGATTGACAAATGCTTCGAAACACTGCGAGAAGCCAGCCGTGCAATGCAGAAGAGTCTACATGATTGAAATCTCTACGAAGCCAGTCTAGATACTGAAAGATTTCTACAGCTTCGTATTTTAGAGGCATGACGCAGACAGTGCGTAAATTAGATCAGGAAAGCAACGGCTTTTGTGGTGAGGAGGGTGCGATATTTATGCAGAGTGAGCTATTGAAATGTAAAGCACTCTGAATTACTTGGGGGGGTGGGGGGGGGGGGGGCGCGTGTAGGGGGTGTTTCAAGCGCTGCATTAAATCCACATTTGATTTCCTTCTCTCCATCTCTCTCTCTCTGCATCTCCAAATCTGTTTCTCTGCCTCTGGCTCCTTGGCCCACCAAAGACTGTCAATTCACTTTACAGTGATTAATTAATTAAATAATCACTGAATCTAAGGCTGTTTGTGGGACGCTGCTGTGCCCAACTGGCTGCCGCATTTCGCCCACAAAAATACAGTCAATTCATTGTACAGTATATTCTGTGAAGCGCTTTGAGACGTCTCGACCACGTGATAAGGCACAGTATCAAATGCAAGGATTATTATTATTACCCTGCGGCGCACCCCCTACTAAAACATTTTAATAAAATAAAGAAATACGCAGCACAAACACCCACATTGCGTCACTGCTCTCTCTATCGCCTTTGCCTATCTGACATTTTGGAGAACGAGAAAAAACGGGGGAGGAGGTGAAAAAAATCTTTCAGAGCAGATTTTGACATGTGGCCCGGAGTTTGGGCACATTGTTACTGACAGAAAGAGAGCGAGAGAGAGAGCGAACGGTATAGGTAGAGAACAGAGAGAATAGGAGACGCTAAGACATGGACAGAGAGATGGGCAGAGAGAAGGTAAAATTAATGCAGGAAGATTAATATTTTCAACCCGTGGCGCTACTCAAAAAGAGAAGGGAGTTTCTCTCTCCCAGTATCCTGGCCCACCCTCCCCAATAAAAAGCACGACTCCTTGGTGCAAATTGGCCTAGAAAAATACACAGCCACTACAAGAAAATCCTGTGAAGCGCTTTCAGACAATCTTCCACCGTGAAAAGCACTACATCAAATGAAAGGATTATTGTTATTGCCCGTTGCTACCTTCAGTCATAATTACTTTGTCTCTTAAATCAGATTGAGGTCCCTGCGCAGAGAGGTGCAGCTCTCTGTACGACTGCCTGTTCATGATCTTGAGAAGCTATGATGAGCATAATAATAATAAAAATATTAGCCAGCCTTTGACATTTCACCTGAGGAGGACTTCTCAAGGCCCTTCACAGGGTACAGATGCGGAGCTCATAGCAATAAGTTCTCCCCAATACTGCAATACAGCATTAGCCTTGACTACATGGTTCCTCCTTATCTGGGGCATTATTGGCTAGGACACTAGGAAAAAGTGTGCAGCCTTGTTTTCACAATGGCAAATTTTCTCTCCACCCCCCCCCCACCGCCCACACACACAACACTCTTGCTCCTGCCATTGCGTACACTCACTCATTTTTGCAACGGTGAACAGGAATCAGATTGGCAGAGAGGTGGATTGCACAAAACAATGCAAATACAGGGAGAACAAAGAGGGATGATGGATGCAGCTCAAATATCGGCTTGGCTCAGTCGGTAGCGCTCTCGCCTTGAAGTCAGAAGATTGTGCGTTCAAACCCCCCACATCAGGATAATAATAATAATCCAGTGCCTTATTGTATCATTGAAACGTCTCAAAGAGCTTCACAGGACATACTGTAAATTGAATTGATTGTGTGTTTTGTGGACGAAAATTTATATTATTTTGTCCTGAGAGTTTATTGCACTTCCATCAAAAGGTGTAAAAAAAATCCCCTTTTCATTGGAAGATAGTTGTAGGATAGGAAAGTCTAGTATGCTAAATTTCTGAGCTAGATTCCTGAGCCAGTTAGGTCCGCAGTATTCCAGGGCACTCACTGCTGATGACAGCGTAGCCCATCGTGACTTATGGACAGGACCTGGACGGGAAGACCAGTCACTAGGCCCAGGGAGTCATCCCACTCAGGTTCTGTTAACTCAGCTCTTAACGGAAGGTCCTAACTTGACAAGCAGCGAGAAGACTGCCAGATTGCACTCTCAATGGGAAAACTATAGGTTTTAGCTGGTCAAACTCTAGCAGTTACCTCCTACCCAATTCTCCAAGTCATGACTCTTGACAACATATGCCTAATACTCATACAATAATTCTTACATTTGATATAGCGCCTTTCATGTCGGGAGGATATCTCAAAACGCTTCACAGGATAATAATAATAATAATCCTTGCATTTGATATAGCGCTTTTCACGTCTTCTAGACGTCTCAAAGCATTTCACAGAATAGACTGTAAAGTGAATTGACTGTACATTTGTGGGCGAACGCGGCAGCCAATTGCGCACAGTCCCACAACCAGTCGTGGATTGAAATGACCAATTCATTATTGTTTTGTTTTGGAGGGATGATTATTAGGCTCTGTGTGGAGTAAGGAAATTTGCCCAAGGTTTCACCCTGACCTGCCGGGAATCGAACTCGGGTCTCTCACTTCCAAAGCGAGTGCTCTAACCACTGAGCTACAGGACTCAACATATACTGTAAAATGCAGCATCTGTGTGTTTTGTGGGTGAAACTCGGCAACCAATTTGCGCGTGAAAACTTGATAAGCAGCATTGCTTTTTGGAGAGAGTACACATTCCATTCCAACACACAGAATGTCCATTTGTAGGTGGGATGTGGGGAACGCTCAGTCTGGGTTTGGAGACTCTTTAGCAATAGTGATGGGTTTCCATGGGTGTCAGATACCCGGCTGACCAACAAAACTAGTATTTACATCGCTGTCCAAGGAGCTGAAAAGGGAGGCAGAGTCCATTTCTGGCATTACAATGATACTAATCCTTACATTGGTTACAGCTCCTTATCACTCAAAGCGCTTCACAGGGTATACTCTAACGTGTAGTGACTGTATTTTGCAGGAGACCGAGGCAATGCCACAACATTCCCACAAACAGCTATGAAGTGAGCAACCGATTTTATCTGAGTGATTGTCGGCCAGGACACCAGGAGAGAGACAGAGAGAAACTACCTTTACTTGACTTTTCCACTAGCGTGATGGAATCTAGAACATCCACCCGAACAGGGCGCAGATGAGGACTGAGGTTTAAAGTCTCATCCAAAGGACAGGCACCTTTGACAATGCCGTGCTCCCCCCAACACACACATATATATACAATACTCACAAATGCACAAGCGTGCATAAAAGCACAAATGCATGCACACCCACAAACACACACACACGTACAAACCCACACACATGCACAATCACACACAAACACATTCAAGGTCACACCCAATTGATTGACGTGGCCTAAGTCTCCCTACTAAATTCTCTTTATTTAGACAATGTAGGGGTTTGAACCCACAACCTTCTGACTCAAGAGGCGAGATGCTACCCACTGAGCCAGTGACACAAAATGCAGTTACTAGTGATTTAGCCACATCAATTGCTCAGGCCATGGAGTGAAACATCACCCCCAACTCTGGGTGTGGTGACTGTAGGGGAGTATTTGGGGGGAGGTGGTTGATGGAGAGATTATGCCAGCGGGGGGAGGGGGGGGAGGAATTGAGGTGGTCAGTTTGGAATTAGCTAAAGCATTGGCTACCATTGGCTGAAGCAGAGGAAGAGAGCGAGAGAGCAAGAGAAGGAAGGAATCACACCCCAATTCCTCGGAAGGAGTGAGGGGAATTTTAGTGTATGTGTGTAAACAGGAATACAAAGAAACATCGCAGTCCCCCCCTCGCCCCAGCCTGACACAAAGGGTACACCCTGGATTGGATCTGCATTCCTTAATATTGCATAAAGACATGGAGGAAAATGGACTGAACATGCAATTGTACATAAACATACATTTACACACATAGAGACTCACAAATACATACACACACACACATAAAATACCCTCACACACAACCATACACACAAATTGTACACACTCAGAAAATACTCGCACAGAAAATACACACATAGAAAATATAATCTCGCTCTCACACACACATACAGAGAAAAAATATACTCAACACACAGAAACTACACACACGCAGAAAATATACTCACACAAAAAATATATACACCCAGAAAAAACACAAAAAATTCACACACAATATTCACACACTCACAAAAATATACCCACACAGCCACACACATACAACAAACAGAGAGAAACACACACACACAGAATGAACACCCACACAAACACAGAAAATATATACCCAGAAAATACACACACATACAGAATGCAGCATTGCACACAGTGCACCAATGACAAATGCAGTTTTTTTTTTAAAAAATCATATAAACCTAGAAGGAATAAAGGACACAGCGAGGAGGAGGAGGAAATGGGAAAATGGCCATGGTGTGATGTGCTGGCGTCTGTCTGCAGAGGCGAACCGCAAAGCAACGATCACAGTGTAACTACGCATATCTACAGCTTATATAAAGTGTGTGCGTGAGTGTGTGTGAGTATCAGTCAATTAAAAGGACGCATTATCAACGTTAACAAAAATGCTACTTTGCTTTTGCTGCATGAGCAGCTCTGTGTATGTGTTAGTTTGTGTGTTATCACTTACACTAATGCACACACACTAACATACACATAAAAGATGTAATCGATTGAAAATATGACGCCTCTAACCTTGCGAACGATGCACTTTTTCCTGTTGTTGTCCACCTGTGTTTTTTCCTTTCTGCAAGGAATTTTGACTATATATATATATATAGCTGCAGTCTCCCATTTCCTGCTCATTTTATGTCTGTCTGCACACAGTATTCTCAGACATGATGTACTAGGGTTTTATAGTGCTGCCATAGGCATCATCACTGAGAATACTGTGTGTGTGCCTCACTCAGTCTCTCGTTCGCTAGCTAGTGTATAATAATAATATTAATCCTTGCATTTGATATAGCGCCTTATCACGTCTTTGAGATGATGTCTCAAAGCGCTTCACAGAATATACTGTAAAGTGAATTGAACAAAGTGAATTGACTGTATAATTTGTGGACGAAACACAGCAGCCAATTCCGCACAGCAGTGTCCCACAAACAGCAGTGGATTGAGTGACCAAATTATTATTATTATTTAGCGCTCTCATTAACATCCATGTGCGCATTGAATGCACTGTCGAATTTTAACTTCAAGTCTTTATGGGGTCAGATATTAGGCAAATGGTTATTTTCCCACATTTCCCCCACACACACCCTATTCGCAATCTTTCACTCACGTGAAATGCACAGATTTGCAATGTGCTAAAAGCTGCAATAATATACTGTGCTTTAGAGAGAGGGGGAGAGAGGGTGAGAGGGGATAGTTTTCAGGAATAATCACAAAAAACCTTGCACCCCCCATCCCAAAAACACACAACCTTTCTCCCCCCTCCCTCATACACACACACGCGCACACACACACACATATATATATTGCAACAACCGCAGGTCATAGCTTTGATATGATTTGTTGCATTTGCACAAAATATGTGTTGCAAGGTATTTGTTATTGGCTACAGCAATGGGGGAGAGACTGAGGGAGAGAAACAGAAGGAGGGATGGAGGGAGAGAGATAGGAGAGATGAAGGCGATGGAGGGAAAGAGATGATGCAGATAGATGGGGAGAGAGATGGAGGAGAGAGGTAGAGGGAGAAAGGTGGAGGGGAAAAAAGAGAGAGGGGGAGGAGGAGAGAAGGAGAGGAATGGTGGGAGAAAGGGGATGCTTGGATGGTGGATGGATGGACCGACGGACCCTCAACAATAATGGGGGTGTGGATGGGAGAGGTGAGAGAGGGGGGGAGAGAGGGAGAGAGAAGGATGGGAGACAGAGAGAGAGAGAGAAGAAAAGGAGCGAATGAGAAATCAGGGTTTGAAATCCCTCAATTCTTGTGTTCCACCATCTCCCCAGGTTACAATTCACTCTGAATTGCATTTCTCTCTTTGTCTCTCTCTCTCTCCCCCTGACTCTCTTGCTCTCTCTCTTGCTGACTCTGTTTCTCTCCATGTCGCTCTCTCTGTCTGTCTGTTTCTCTTGCAGAACCATTCTCAAGAGCAACCTCTCATTTTATGAATTGGATATTGCAATATTCACCTGTCGTGAAATGAATAATAATAATCCTAGCATTTGACACAGCGCCTTATCACATCTTCAAGATGTCTCAAAGCGCTTCACAAGATATACTATAAATGGTATTGACTGTATATTTTGTTGGTGAAATTCATATTGGAGATTGGATTCAAAATCGCAAAAGCAGCCAGAAATAATGTGAAGATTTATTTATTGTGTGTGTCTGTCTGTCTGTGCGGGGGTGGAGGTGGGGGGGGTGGGGTGGATTGACCATAGGAAGGGAGAGAACCTCAAATTGGAGACTATCCTTCTCCCCACCCCCATTCTATCCCTCCATCCTTCATCCCCCCCAGTCCCTGGGTACCCGTTCCCCATTTGCGGGATGGGATTTTTTGCGGGGGGAGGAGAGAGCTGATCATGTCTGTGTGTGTGATTGGGGGGAGGGCGGAATATGTCTTTTTTGCGTTCAGGGAATTTCGAGGAGGAGAGAGTGATGGGGAGAAAGAGAGAGAAAGGAGAGAGGAGAGAGGGGTGGGAAGAGAAAGATAGAGGCGACAGATAGAGGAGGAAGGAGATGGGGAGAAAGAGAGACAGGGAGAAAGAGGGAGGGGGGAGGAGAGTAAGGGGGAGAGGGGGGGAGAGGGATGGAGAGAGAAAGAGATAGAGGGGAGAGAGAGCAGGGGTTTAATTGCATGAAAGATGAAATCGGCCAGAATTGTGCGGTGCAGAAATGTGCGCGGGTCCGTCCCAGTGAGCAGTTTGCGTGGGTGACAGAATGGGTGGGGGGGGGGGACAGAGGAAGGGGGAGAGGAAGGAGAGGAGAGGTGAGAGGAGGAAGGAGTGAGAGAGGGACGAAGAGAAAGGAGAGCGAGATGGAGGGGAGTCAGGCTTTGCGGGAGAATTGGGGCTATGGTATTTGCGGTATTTTGCGCACCTTGGACAGATCTCTCTCTCTCTCTCTCTCTCACACACCACACACACAGAGAAGGAATGAAGACGCTGGTGACTTACTTACCTGGGTGTTTGAGGTCTGTCCAGGCTGTGAGCCGCCTCACCATCACCTCTTTGGGGGGTAAAAACACAGCAATTTCCCTCTGTGAAGCCGCTCGAATCCCTTTCAAACCATCTGCAATGATGTCAAGCCAATAGGTACAGCAATATTCAATCCAAGGTCGCTTTTCTTTTCCTTCCAAATCAGATCTCGATGGCTTCTCTCTCTGTCTGTCTGTTTCTCTTTTATCTCACTCTTCCCTCTCTGCCTCTGCAAAAACAAAATAACCATATATATATGTATATATCTATACATAAAAAAAGTCCTCAGATCAGTCTCCCAATCTGATCTCAATTTTCCAGGCGATTCGACACACAAATCCCCCCACAAAAAAAACATAGATGCTGTGGTTATTTTGTTCCTTGTTCAATCCCTGATGTCAAGGTTGCATCCTTTCCTGGAGCCGTGAGCTTTAATCCACGGGGTTTTTGTGAATAACACAAGCGTTTGCCTCGACGTGTCGCTTTGCAGGAGAGAGAATGAATGTGTGTGAGAGAGAGAGAGAGAGAGAGAGAAGGAAGAGAGAGAGAGAGAGAGGAAGGAAGGGAGGAAGGAAGGGGGGGAGAGAGAGAGAGGGGGAGGGAGGGAGGGAGGAGGGGAAGGAAAGGGAGAGGAGAGAAAAGGATGGAAATGGAGACAGAGGGAGATCTCAGCCTCTCAGCACTCCCTCCCGGTCAGTCCCCGTCCCTCTCGCGGTGGGAAGCGGCTGTGGCCGAGTGCGGATACACGGGGTTTGCCGGCACACGCTGGGGAGACACAAAGCCCGGGGTGGACTTTCCTGGCAGGAATGCTGTCCCCTCAGCACTGAGAGATTCACTCAGCGTCGGCTGTTTGTGGGGCGTCGCTGTGTCAAATTGACTGCCACCTTTCGCACCCTCACAAAACACACAGTCATTACACTTCAACAACAACTTGCATTTATATAGCGCTCCTCATGCAGGATAGCGTCCCAGAGCGCTTAGACGTGACAGTATATCCCTTCGCGTCCTATAGCATAGTGCTGAGAGCTCTTGTCTCACAAACGAGAGAACCTCGGTTCGATTCCCGGACGGGACAAAACTTTAGGTTAGTTTCCTTATTCCACGCACACGAGCAGTAAGTAGGAACCTGATTGTTAGTCGATTGGCGGTTCGCTTTCAAGGGATAATAATCACTCCAAAAAAATACTAAAAATGTGGTCACTTAATCCACGACTGTTTTGGGACACTGCTGTGCACAATTGGTTGCCACGTTTCACCCATAGAATACAGTCAATCCACTTTACTATATTCTGTAAAGAGCTTTGAGATATCTCAATGTGATAAGGTTCTATATCAGATGCAAGGATTATCATAATTGTTATTATAATTTGCATGGCAAGATACAAATCAAGGTGGTGTTAAGTTGCAAGCAGTTTATTAGCAATGCTATGGAGGGGGAGATATTGTATGAATACAGTGGAATATTGTATGATTAAAAGAATCAGGTGGTTATAGGTGAGAAAGGGAGAGAGAGAAATGTAGGAGAAACATTGGCAAAGAGAGAGAAAGAGGGGGAAAGAGAGAGGGAGAAGAAAATTATAGATTGAGAACAAAAGCCACTGCGAATGTAATCAGTACAAACAGCAATTAGTGAATTAAGGCAACAGCAGTAAATCAAGTGGTGAGTACAGAAGTGCGAAGAAAATAGCCTCAAAATTATTTGCACTATAGATTGTCAGTGAGACCCCAGATGGACACTATCTGATTTAATAAGAGATTCTGTAATTACATCTACTCATTTTGGTAGATTTTTATAACTTGACTTTGTTGGGATTCAGCCAGGTGGGTGTCTGATGCGTACGGAAACCCATCACCGTTGCTTAAGAGTCTCCAAACCAAACTGAGAATTCCACATGTGTATGTGCATGTCCATCTAAGTTTGGAGATTTCCCTGTCTATAATTTAATAATAATAATTCTTGCATTTGATAAAGCATCTTAATGCGGTTTCGAGACGTCTCAGCAGTGTCCCACAAACAGCCATGGACACTTTATTTTGTTTGTTTGTTTGGAAGGGATTATTTCCCCTGGAAAGCAATCTAACAACTAACGACCTGGTTACTACTTACTTACTTACTGCTTAGTAAACAGAGGCGTGTGGAATAAGGAAACTTGCCTAAGGTTTTGCCCTGACCAGGACTTGAACCCGAGTCCAGTCGCTTGTGAGGTGAGTCCTCTAATGCTATGGGACTCTACCCATATCTAGAATGGAATGTAAGGATGCACTCTGCTGAGCTAAATCCAGTGAATGCCAGGGGCAGGTTGGCGAGAGGCAAGGCTTAAGGGTCCTACTGGAGTCTAACCAACTAAAAGCACACAGCTTGCCATTGGTATCACTGTCAGGCAAGCTTTCCCGCTGCTTGTCCAGCTAGGCCCACCCTACCCATTAAGGCTTTGGCTTGGAGGGTTAACAGGAGCTGAGTGGGATAATTCCCTGCCCCCGGTGACTGGTCTGCCCTTCCAGGACCAATGCCATGACTCGCATTGATGTGTTTTGCCCACAAAATATAGTCAATTCACTTTGCAGTATATCACGTGAAGCGCTTTTAGACATTTGGAAGATGTGATTAGGTGCTATATCAAATGCAAGGATTAATATTATTATAAATAACGTCACAGGATCTTTAACGTCCATCTGATGGGCACCGATGGGCAAAGCTCATTTTCCCCATTTCACGCTCCACCCCCCACCCAAAGCACTGTGTTGGAATGTCATCTTGAGTTTCAAATCCTGATGTGGGGGCTTGAACCCACAACCTTCTGACTCGGAGGGGAGAGTGCTGGCGACTGAGCTAAGGCTGACACACAGTGTTATGAGGGTTTTGAGAAATAATATTTCTGCTGTGAAATGCCAAGCACGTCTGGTCTACCATGACTTGCATTGATGCATGAGTCTCATTATAGTCTCACTCAGAGCCTGCGACTTGCTCCTTCCTCACTGTGGGGCTGGGAGCCACAACTCAGCCCACATTCCCTCTCTCACCTCCTGCCCAGGGCTCCTGGCCCAATACATATATCACTGCCTCTCATGGCATTTCATACAACAACAACAGCAGCAGCAACATATTACATTTACACAGAGCCTTTCATGTCGGGAGGACATCACAACAACAACTTGCATTTATATGACGCCCTTCACGTGGAGTAGCATCTTGGAACGCTTGACTGTGGCAGAGTCTGACCCAAGAATCTGGACTATAACCCTAACCCTAACCCCAAGTTTGCACCCAAGCTAGTGGTTGGGATCAGAGGGGGTGGAGGGCAGGGAAGGTGGGAGGATGACTGAAGACTCATCAAAGCGGAGGGGCTTTAGACCGGCCTTAAAGGAGGTAACGGAGGGAGCGGGTGGAGGGGATTAGGAGGGTGGTTCCAGAGGGTGGGGGCAGAAAAGCTGAAGACCCGACTGCTGATAGTGGAGCGGGCTGGGCGGGGGACATGGGGCAGACACCCATCTGACCACAAATAATCCCTTTGGAATCCTGCCTCCACCCCTTTTCATGTATCTTTAAATCCCCGTCTTAAATCCTACCTCTTCAACTGCATCTATATTCCTGCCCCTCTCCCTTAGCTTAGTGTCCAGCCTCAGCAATGTTAACCGCTCTGAGATGCTAGCCTGGATGAAAAGAAGCTGCAAGTTATAATAATAATAATCCTTGCATCTCAAGACGTCTCAAAGCGCTTCACAGAATATACTGTAAATAATAATAATAATAACAATCCTTGCATTTGATATAGCGCTTTTCACGTCTTCGAGACGTCCCAAAGCGCTTCACAGAATATACTGTAAAGTGAATTGACTGTATATTTATGGGCGAACACGGCAGCCAATTGCGCACAGCAATGTCCCACAAACAGTCGTGGATTGAAGTGACCAATTTATTATTTTTTTAAGGGATTTTGTTTTGTCATATAAATCTGTCTGGAGTCTTAGCAGCTTGTATGAGATCTCAGACCACCATTCCTGTCCAAACCCACGGCCAGATATTTTCCCCCTCACATTAACTCGATAGTGGGGATAGATTTCCTGATTTGATCTCCCCCACCCCATCCATCAAAGCACCTCTCCATGCCAGGCTAACTCTACCTAACATCCTATTTTCCCTGATAAAACAGAACCACTCGCCTATTGCCAGAGTGTAAGTGTTTAGATGGGATATGGCAATGTGGAGCCCTGGCCTGATCTGCTGAGTCTCAGCCTGGATGGAGTCTGGATCCTTTGACTGATAAATAGGACAGCAGATTGAGGTCACAGCTTGAGGCTTGAGCCCCATCCAATTGGCAGCGTCCAAGGCGACAAGCTATTCCATTCACCAAAGCCAGCGTTACATGGACAGCTTTACACGGAGGCTAAACGGTGGTCAGACAAAGCAGCCTTTTGTTGTCTTGAATGTTTGTAGCCAATATTGCCAACGTTTGGCTACAGTTAGCATCGCTTCTAGAGTCAGAAACCAACGTGCAGAGTTGCAGCTTATATTGAATGCTAACTCCACACCACCCCCCCCCCCCCACCCCCGTTGGCGATCTCTACTCTAACCCCATTCCCTGCTCTCCCCCCATTGTGTTGGTGCTGGTACTCGCTCCCCCACTGCAGCCAACAATTCCCCAAATAAAATTGGTCGCTCTCTTCATGGCTGTTTGCAGGACATTCTGTGTGCAATTGGCTTATGTGTTTCACAGATAAATACGCAGTCACTACACTTTACAGTAAATCCTGTGAAGTGGTTGGGGTTGATATAAATGGCACTTTACCGAATGTAAGGATTATCATTAAATCTTACTTAACCTCAGTAAAACGTATGAGAAATGGTTATTAATGCGACATTGTTACAGCCATTTTCAGGTCCTGTGGTTTAATTTTGCTCATTATTCCTCAGATTTTAAGCATGTTCCTTACACAAAGCACAAGGCAGGGCTCATTGACAAGCTAATGGCGCCTAGCCTTGATACTACAGATTATTTACTACCAAATAGAAATAAAAAAGATAGTGGTTTTTTTCCTGACTGGTCACATTCTCTACACTGTTTTACTCCTGTCCGGGCATCTTATTTATATGATCACCTTTGAACCGAGGTGAAATGGTGAGCAACTATTTCAGTCCACGGTTGATTTGAGGACAGAC